ACACTCTAGTTAATAAATTAATGTAACGGGGTCCGATCAAAGAACTATGATAGAAAAATGGAGCGATAATTTTGCCTCTAAATAGACCACACCAAACATTAACACTAAATTGTCTGCGGATTGTGGGAATTGGCTAGAAATGGGTTATGTCTACTCCAATAATGAAATTTTTTTCTATTATACATCCCACAATTTGAAAAATTAGCCTCATCGTTCCATATAATATATCTATAGAAGTTTGGATATTGACTGCATTCATTCATAAACCACCAATAAACCCCCGATCGTCTGTTAGGGTTACCAGGTTCTAGTGTCTGCACTGGTCTTAACTTATGAGGAGAAATCTTATGTTCCTTCAGAATTATTCAGATATTAAGATAACTGCATAGGTGAAAACTAAATGTATAGTTCAAGTAGAAGACATAGTGCCCCCTAGCTTCCAGCAATTCCCCTTTAATAACACACACAACGCGGTACTCATCGCTACATTCTGTTGGTCACCGTAACATGACTGTTCAGCCAATCATAAAACTCGGTTCATAAAAATTATCCAATACGAACCGCCAATTCTTCAGTCCACGTGGACTAATTCGTTGCGGCATAATTCCTTTGTATTGGTTTCTTTGACCTTTGACTTCGCCGACACCTTTAAGATTACTATATCGGTTACTTCGATTATACCTCGATACTATTTAGAATTTTGACAACTTGTTTGTGAGGTCGATTTGATAGTTGATTTCGAAATTAAGAAGTATTTCATAATACGAAACAAGGACTTTATATTTGAAATTTTGTTGAAGATATATTTGATTGAGTAATACTAATCTAATAGTTATGTCGTATATACATTCATGTACTTACTTCTGTTTTACAAAAATCAAATACATTTTGAAACGTGGTATGAAAATGGAGGGTAAGTCTCAATGGTAGTGACGTAATTTTAAAAATTTTTCCTTCGAAATGGAAAAATTCGGGTGTAACCATTTTCTTAAAGAACTATCGAATAAAATTGAATTCAAATTTGTTTCCGGAAAGTGTCTATTGTACCCGGGCCTTGGCAGGTATCACCAACGGAGCCTCTGGGATAACATACGACCTTCCAGAGTACTCAGCATTGCATCCATGCAGGGGCTCCATATATATCAACTTTTATCTATCTACGTTTAATTTTCAACATTCGCGAGACGATCTACGTCTCAGGCTAGATTATCGAATCAATACATCAAGAGATCAGATTGCAATACATTTATATTAGTCAAGGTCGAAGAGCGTCATTAGATGTAACACTATAACGAGTTTCGATCGTCAAACAAAATATCTTTTTTTTTATCAACAAACTACGAAATTAATAATTATTCCTTCTATGGGCCTCACAAAGAAAAGTCGACCGAATCTCGAGATAAAACAGTTTAGCGTATTGAAAGTAGTCTAACGATTTTGACAATTTATAAAGTAGCAATCTTCGCATCACTCTTATGATAAAACTGAAACCACAAATATGTTTCTCATTAGTCAGTGAGCTATGCTTGAAGACAGGCAGTAAAGAAATCTAAAGATATGCACTTTAAATGTTCAAGCCCCTCTTGGATATACCTACACAGTAGGTTGAATGGACTGACGCCTTTCAGAAAACAACTACTCCTCTGGCTAATACCACGAAGGGCGTTGGATTATATCCGACAGGCGTCGGATATACGTTCACTTCAGAAAAGTATTAGATATCAGTTGAATAGTTGTTAACAGACGAAACCTGTAAATCATAACAGATAAAATTATAAATGATTCACAAAATTTAGCCACCATCGATACCTTATTCAATATATGAGGAGTTTTTTGGGAATCTGTGTGTCTCATAAAAATAAATTCCAAGTGCATTTTATGAGATTCATAAAATAACATTGTTTTTGAAAGACCCCCTTCAGTAAAAATTATGACGGACATCAAATTCCGTCATAATCATACACTTGTGTGATTATTCCTTGTTATTGTTATTGTCATACACTACTGACCCACTTAACTAATTAATAAAGTTGTTTCCATGGATATAACGAACTCTTGCTAATAGTACCACATCGATGATCTTAATTGGCAAATCAGGAAATAATTCAACAATTTTTCACTTAAAACTAACATGCGAGCTTTCCACCACAGTCTTCGTCAGGTCCTGTCTCAGAAATATGAAAAACAAACACAGAACAAATATTTTGAAAATAATTGATTTCCAAGTTTGTGATAAAAGTTTTTTTGTACTCTAATCCTATATTCTTATATCGGTGTTCCAAATATGAAGGCTGAAAACTTCTTAAAGATTTTTTTGTACATCCTTACCATGAAAAGGTGTTTCACTATTATTCAAAAACTTCAAAACCACTCAAATTTTGATAAGGATTCAATTCATCTCTTCATACTAAGTGAATGAGCTGAACAGGTGAATATGATGCTTGTAAAATTGCGTGCAATTCTCATTCGATTTCCTTGTCGTCACAAGTCTGCATATGACATGCTCTTTCATAAACGCCCTTTTCTGCGTAGATACGGTGGTACTTTTACAATACGGCATCGTACAGTATTTGTTGATCACTGTTTCTTATTAAAGGCCTTCTCAACAATTTTGAGAAAAAATCACCAAAAACTTATGTTTACTTAAATTTTGTTGGCTCACATACATTATTCATTTCTATATGAATATAGATATTGAAACGAAAGCCGCCACTGTCCACGAGACAAAACTCAACGGACCAGATTCTCCTCAAACAATAATCCAAGGAGCCAACTTTATAACCTTGAGTATGTTTTTGTTGAAAAAATGACAACCAATTGTATTTGTGTACCGCAGTTTACATTTTGAATTAACCAAATGATGAGATAATGAATTAAGCTGTATGTGTAACAATTAAAGTTTCTATTCTTCACAAACACAATTAATTTCATAATTGAGGAAGTCATTTTCTCAAAGTAGGTGAAATCATTATTCTTATTACTCAATACTAATTTTAAATTTTATATCATTAAAAATGAAAATTTCACGGAATACGAAAATGTAGCTTCTATGTTGAATAAAACCGGCTGAGGTTTATGCATACAGGGTGAGAAGTATGACCATGTAGGTCTTGATAAATGATAAAACTTATCTAAGTTTCCAAACCATTGTTTTTCAGAAAATAATCTGAAATTTTCAATTAGAATAAGCAGTCTTGTATTTTAGGAAGAGTTAATTCTTACAACACATTCGTGGTTCAGCCTAAGACCACTGACGAGACCTTTGGTGGGCCGAAACAGAGCTGCCTAGTTGCCTTGCAGTGAAAGCTACAGAGAGCGAATCTCATTCCTCGGTCTATGTTGTTACTTGGTTCCACAACAAACATACTGCCTTTGAAAGCTTCTTTTCGTTCTCTGTCGACCCCAAAGATGGCGTTATAGTAAGAGGGGATGCTATCGCCTCTACTTTCTCAGGCTTGTCCTTTAAGGATAGTTGAATTCAGAAATATAGTTGTGGTTCAGCCTACCACTATTTATTATTAGACCAACTGTGGGTTGAAAGTGTGCTGTCTGGTGTTGGTGTTCTTTTTGGATTTTGGTTTCAAACATGTTTTTACTGGTTATATTGGTATATACAATTGGACTAACAAGCAGATTCCACTTGCACCTGAACACAATTTTTTTTCCATTTTTTTGTGCAGAAAAACATGTGAAACGTTTTGAAAAATTGGAGGGCGCACTTGTTATATTTTGCGATTTTTTGGTTATTGTAAGCCAACAGTAGTTTTGAAAATGTACGAGGTATAATCAGAAAATAGGGGGAATTTTTGTTTTTTCCAATACTCCCAATACTCGAAACATTTGTCAAACTCAATCTTTGGGACAGCCTTCAGCTCTTTCGGAGATGCGTTTTCAATGCCATCTAGGCTTCTCTTTATTTTTGGAAATTAGAAGTCACACAGAGACATGTCTGGCAAATATTGAGGCTGGGGCATCGTTACACCATTGTTTTTGGACAGAATTTCACGAACTAGTAATGATGTGTGAGCGTGTGCATTATCGTGGTGCAAAAGCCATGAAATGCTTTTCCACAAATCCAGGGTTTTTTTCGGATAGCTTCAAGTAGATCATCAGCGACTACTCTTGATTGTGATTCGGCGATCGTCCATAGCCCTTTCTTTCATCGGTCGTCGATATGATGAAGCGTCCAGGGCGTTCGTTTTTTTTCAACATCATTACGGCTATCTTGAAAACGCTTATTCCATTCATAAACCATAGTTTTACTAATAGCTGACTCAGCATATCCCTCACACACTTTGTTACACTTCATTTTATTTTTTAAGCAAAACTTGTTACACATCCATTTGTTTTAACAAACGAAAGTTGCCGGGCTCTTCACTTCTAACCTTGGCGGCTGAAACGAGCAAAGAAAATAAACATAATAAATAAAATTGACAATCGGACTCTCCAAACCATTGAGATTTGAAACTTCCCGTTATTTTCTGAACACCCCTCGTATATACAGATTGTCATTTCATGTAGATTTCATTTTCGAGTAGCACAGTTGCTCAGAATATTTTCACCTCAAGGTTCAACGTCTTTGATGGGTAGATGTTTTTGAATAAATGGGAAGAGGAGAACAATTTCGAAAGGCGATTCTTGACGGGGCGGCTTCGAAATAGATATTCATTTAAGGGATTATCTCGAAGGTTTTGAGGGTTTCTCATTTTTCTTATACTCTTTAGTGTGATTTTTTTCGCAATTTGTACGTTGTTCAATGCTGGTTTTCAGCATACCAAGTTTGTATATAGTTGGTAATATCACAAAAGTTTGAAAGAAAGCAGAAAACATTTTTCTGTTTCGAAATTTTCATAAAATAAAAGAGTGACAGTTTTTTATATAGGATTTTCCGGGTCAAGAAAAATCAATGGTAAAAAAACAAATGCAATCCTTGAAGCCTTCGGACTGTGGCGGAAAGCCTTGTGATTGTGTGTGTAGCAGTGTAAAAAGGTTGTCATTACATTTTTTCTTACCTTGCGGCTGGGGGTTGTTGGCCCCCGAAGCCGCCGTAACCTTGCTGTGGGCCGTCGTGGTTGCCGTTGTCGGACAATCTGTGGTATTGGATACGACAGCCGCCTCCTCGCAGCTATTAACATTCCCTTCGGGGGACCGTGTTTTTCGCTGAAACAAAAAATCATACCGTGAATAATCCATTAAATACTTTTCAACAGTATCATTACAAAAGAAGATTTTGCGATATTATCTTATTTTTAGTGTCCGACCGAAAATTCGGAACGGGTTTCGGGTTCGGCGGCAAACCTGGCGAAACTACGACCGAAACCGAAGCTGCATTCGGGAGTTCACGCGCTGTGATCGTTCATGTTCGGCGCGTTGAATTTCATACAAGCGGCGAAGACATTTTGCCGCGTCCACGTGCCTAATCATGTCTTGACATACTTTATTTAGTACATAAATATTAAGTACCTATTGTGATATTAGGTAACAACTTGAATAAGTAAATTCATGTTGAATATTTTTGAAAAACCATTAAAAATATTCAAAAGAAGAATCTACACCTACTCAAATAAACACCTCACCTATTTTAAGTATTCTCAAGGTGCAAGTAATATTTTTTATTACATAAAGGGTTGTTATGTTGATTTGTTGATTATCAATAAGTAAAAATGTCGAAGACATAAAAAAAATAAAAACTGACTGATTATAATAACGTTTTCTTTATTTTTCCTTCAAAACCTAATCCTTGTAAGGAAGTTTCGGTTTCGGCCGAAACTGAGACCGTTGCCGAAATTCGGTTTCGGTCATGAAAACCAGTTTCGGTCGGACACTACTAATTTTCATTAAAAAAGATTTCGAAGAACTGAAAGCGTTCTTAACAAATGTAGTTCGGTATATATATTTCGAGCAGTTGCAGTTTGACATATACTTCTGAAATACACTGCTTTTAGATATAGAAGTTTGAGCATTTCTCTTTACACACAAAAGAGTCAGAAATTTTCATTTGAAAAAGTCAATAAATTCCGACTTCTATTAAGAACTCAAAAAAAGAGTACAAAAAACAGTTAAAGCCAGGCTTGCACTGTTGAACTCAAAAGAGAAATCGACAGTGCTCAGAGAATACATCGAAGAAGTGAAATAATTGGCGGATTATAAACTGGTTGCCTGGATCCTGAGGATTCACAGGCAATGAAGAAACTGATGAATGTGCTATGCACAGATTGTCAGCTCCATATGTAGGCCTCGAACCAATTGTCAGTATTCCAAAACATCATAGTCATCTTCATTTTTATCAGGTTGGAATTTTTTTTCCCTTACCTTTTCAACTGAGATTCGTCAGGACGAATGATTCATAACGTAAGGTGTTTTGGTGGCGACATAAAGGTCAATGACCTCTATGCCGCTCTGGCCTTGTGTACCCCTTCCTGACTGGGGTTTTTGATGACAATCTGTTCATTTTAACAGACTTCGTGGGGCCTTCACTCAACCGAGCGACAGGGTTTCTGAATCAAGTGGGGTCGTCTATAGTGTAATCTATAGCTTCCCTAACTAATGAGTTATCATGAGTTTCCGCTGACTCGAAAACTCTCTGATTCCTCGACTGAATGGACTGCCGTATAGTTACAGCTTCAAATCTCCGCGGATGGCTTCATTCCGCACGAACCATGGAGCATTCACCAGCATCCTGAGAAGTTTGTTTTGCAACCTTTCCAAAATGGAGAGGTTTGAGAGGTCAAGATTGAGTTTTGAATTTCTATTGACCAGAGGATAGAGTTTAGCTATCCTCATCTGCACTTTGCTGTTGATATAATCAATGTGATTTGCCCAGGTGAGTCGGCGGTCTACCCAAAGACCTAGGTACTTAACTCGCGTTTGCCATTCGATCTCCCTTCCTGAAATCGTGACCCTTGTGTCTGGAGAAACTTTACGTCTCCCCAAGTCTATCGCCTGAGTTTTTTCTGGATTCACTCAAATCTTCCAGTCAAGGTACCTGCGTTCGAGGTCGTCCAATGCGCGTTGCATGTAGACGACGCCAACGCCCGACCCATGGAAGAAGCGAGGAGAGCCGTATCATCGGCGTAAAGCGAAACCTTCACGTTATCGAACTTCGGAAGGTCACTCACGTAAAGGCTGTACAATAGTGGAGACAGCACAGCTCCCCGAGGCACTCCAATCTATTGACATGAGCATCCCTTCCCCGATCGCAAATGTAGGCGACCAAAGGGCTCACGGATTCTTATCTAATATCTAATATGAGTTCCAATTTGTTCACTGTATCAAGGTGAGTTTGTATTTGTACTTGAGTTTGAATTATGTTTCGTTGAATACGTTATTGGCGCTTTTGTGATCATAGGAATGATAAAAGAAAGGCTATACGATGCGGAGGGAAAACGATTGTTCGCAAGTAAGAAAAGACGCAGCAGTAGTAGAATCGTCGGAATGAAGTCATTAATGAAGATGTAAGTGCTCAAAAACACTTGAAATGTTGACAGTAGCATACGGTGATTGTACTCCGAGCCAGAAAAATCGTTAAAAGTATTACCAGCTTTTCACGGAAGGTCGAGAAGATGTGAATGACGACATTCGCCCAGCACATCAACAACCCATGAAAATGTTGAGAAAGTGAAGCAAAGTTCGTTCCAAAATTGTTGAATGACGTTAACGGCGATACGGATTTGCTTAAAAGGGTCGTAATTGTTGACGAATGATGGGAGAGCCAAGACAAAAAAACACGCCAAATTCTGTCAAATGTCAAGGTTTTCGTGGTCACACGGTCACAAAGAGAAAACATCCGATATTGTGGAAAAACAATTCATGGCTTTTACATCAAGATAATGCACCTGCTCAATCGTTATTGCTTGTTCGTGTTTTTTTTTACCAAAAAACAACACCTCACTCTTGCCTTAGCCACCGTATTCACCAGATTTGCTTCCCTGCCACTTTTTTCTATTCGCATGATTGAAGAGACCCATGAAAGAACGCCATTTTTCAACGATTGAGAAGATAAAAACCGAATCACTGAGAAAGCTCAAGGACATACCAGAACTTCTTCGGAGATTGAAAAAAAAACTGGCACAAGTGCGTTATATCTAAGGAGACAAAATAGAAATTGATTAATAAATCAATATTTTTAGAGAAAAATGAAAATATACCTTATCTTCTTAACAGTATAAAATTCCATGGTTTTCTGGTGGAAGTGGTACCACTTTATGGTTAGGTTTTTCCATTATTCTCAACGAAGATCTGATAGGAGGAGAGCCAAGACAAAAAAACACGCCAAATTCTGTCAAATGTCAAGGTTTTCGTGGTCACACGGTCACAAAGAGAAAACATCCGATATTGTGGAAAAACAATTCATGGCTTTTACATCAAGATAAGGCACCTGCTCACTCGTTATTGCTTGTTCGTGTTTTTTTTTACCAAAAAACAACACCTCACTCTTGCCTTAGCCACCGTATTCACCAGATTTGCTTCCCTGCCACTTTTTCCTATTCGCATGATTGAAGAGGCCCATGAAAGAACGGCATTTTCCAACGATTGAGAAGATAAAAACCGAATCACTAAGAAAGCTCAAGGACATACCAGAACTTCTTCGAATATTGAAAAAAAAAACTGGCACAAGTGCGTTATTTTTTAAGGAGTCAAAATAGAAATTGATTAATAAATCAATATTTTTAGAGAAAAATTAAAATTTACCTTATATTTTGAACAGACCTGGTATGTATACCCACCCATTTCTTAACGCTTATTATTATCAAAGTTATATGTCTTTTATGCAGATTTGGAATACAGGTTGTCGAAGTTTCAATTATTGAGGAATCACTTGAATTTTTCGAACATCTCTAAAAAACTCCGTTTTTTACCAAGAATCATATTGCACGAAAGTTCATTAGTAAATTTTCCATGAAGCACAAAAGAATACGTATAACTGAAGTAGGTATTTCCAATTTTAGGGAATTCCGGTAACCCTCAGTATATGCTATTATTTTTGTTTTGGAATATATTTTCTTTAAATTGTAATTGTTATCTTTCGTGAATCGTATTCTCGGAAAATAATGTATACCTCAATGTTTGTCAGGTATTCCCGGACTATTACTTTGAAACCCTTTTAAATGGAATTGTAATACCTACTTGGTATAACATGGTTATTCAGAGGTATGACTGAACGGTCGTATCCGATATGGTACTTTCCAATAAACAGTCCTTGTGTTACGCCTCATCAAGCGTGTGGTAATCGAAACCTATCGATTCGTGTGGATTATTATTTGTCAAAAATTGATAACCTTGTATATTAGTCACTTTTCTAGGACGTCGTAGAAAAATAAAATGTTAGGACTAGGTCAACTACCGACAATTCTAATAGCACTTTTCCAACTGCATCTGCTCAAGTTTCGGAAATGAGTAGCAACTATGTGTCTGCCGTAGCTTCAACCATTCAAAATGTGGAAACGACTGACAATATTTCCCAGAGATAGAAATATATTCGTTCTGATCTTCTTTTTATGAATCATGTTTTTTTTTCAGTTTTTATACAGGTATATCTCTACAGGGGCGACGTTTTGCAGATATCGGATATTTATTGAAGCAATTAGAAAGATTCTAGATACCCGGAGAAATTGGAAATTCGTAATCCACCACGACAGTAAACATACAACTGAAACGTCAGTTGATACGTCAATTAGAGTACTTCAACCATACCACTGGAGACGGCTGCCGCAGTTGTAGTTGATACGTTTGGAAATTGTAACCAAAGAAGAGCATGGCAAAACCCAGACACCAACCAAAACAATGAAGACCTGGTCAGGTCCGATGTAAGACAGGCAGATAGTATTCGCAGAGTATGTATGTAAGAGAATCAACAACGGCTTTTTCACTTTACCACTGTTGAATACCCTGTAGCTATAGGAGAGTGTTATGGCAGGCCTACTTGCCAAGCCGAATATTTGTGGTTCTGTCCTACTTCCCGAAGTGGCAGACTGATTGCCGATCAGGTCCTCTCAAAATTGAGGAAAATGAATCAATCTCTCTCGCTAGCTAACCTGAAATATCACTCACCAATTCAAGTAATCGGCACTCGAAAGTGTTCGGTACCCCAACAGTCGGCATTTTTCTCATTCTAGAGAGGATTTGATCGGCGATCAGTCTGAGACTTCTTCGGAAAGTAGGACATCACCACAATTATTCGCCTTCGAAAGTAGGCCTCCCATTTAACACTCTTTCATAGCTTTAGGGCATTGAACAGTAGTGTGAAAAAGACAGTGTCTTAGAAATCAGCCATTGAATAAATGAAAAATGTGTGAAATTATTGAAAACAGTACATACAAAATATTGAAATTTGGAATAATGAAATTAATGCGTGAATACTTTATTTTGAAGTGAAATTGACATATGAAACTTTCAAGATGGTGGCCAGCCATCTGGGGAAAAAATTAAATGGAAAGGGGGGTCTTGTGACCCATCATTTTGAAGCACCTGACGAATACTTCACAACCCTAGAATATGAAGCCATTATCTTCACCTACTACAAAATGGCGAAACATTTGATAATTTCCTGAAGACAAACACAATAATATCTATATTTCTAGAAATATTCCTTTTCATCTGCCATATGGCAATTCCAACAACCCGATAAGGTTTGTTAAGTTATTTTTTGTTTATAGAAACGTCAAAAAATGTCAGTACGACAACGAACATCATTGTTCAGTTAGAATATTCTCATTTAGTTTTCGCTTTTACTAGTAGAAAGGTACCAATGGTCGAATGGTCAATTCTCGTCCTTTGGAAGAAAAAAATTGAAGCGATTTTTATTTACGGTGCGAAATTACTGGAAACTACTGTTGACCCTCTCATCACTGAAATCGTCGAAGCGAATCCTAATAAATTCTATATGGATATTGTATTCCAACAGGATGGAGCACCACCACATTACTCCAGACAAGTAAGAAACTATTTGGATACTACTTTTACCGGTCGTTGGATTGGCCGTCGAAGTCCTACATAATGGCCAGCCCGCTCGCCATATTTGACACCTTTAGACTTCTTTTTATGGGACTATTTGAAGCAGAAGTTGTACGAAACTGAACCTGCTTCAATATTGGATATACGGCGCCCAGTCGCCATCTTGAAAGTTTGATCTGTCAGTTTCACTTCAAAATAAAGTATTCATGCATTAATTTCATTATCAAAATAAAGTATTCATGCATTAATTTCATTATCCCAAATTAATATAAATTGGGACGCCATCATGGGACCGACAGCAGTTCGTGGTTTGAGTATAGATGGTGTCTGTCTTCGCCTTAATTTTTGCAAGCTTGTACTTTGATAGCTGGGGCGAACATTCGTGGTTCGGCCTAGTTAGATTAAAAATGTTCTTTTGGGCTCGAGTTTCATCTAGCTGCCTTACAGTGAAAGACAGGAAATATTTTGGTCTGCGGTGGATGTTGTAACTTAGCTTCGCAACGGAACGCCATAATGGCCTTGTTTATCTTTAATATTTGTGGATTGACTCTGACGTTCCCACAAATGGTGTTCAGTGGGAGTGTGCTTATATCAGGTTCGGGAAAAGTGTTTTCAATTGGTGCAATAAAACAATTTAGACATCATTCTTACCTTTTGGCCGCAGCGCTGGTACGTATCTAGAAGCTTGATGGTAGAAGCTCGTACGAAAGGTTGCTGATTGTCGCCTGGACTGACATTTTTGGTTGAAAAGTTAGTTGTATACCCTTGGTGGTTCACAGAGAAAACTTGTTCGACTATAGACAAATCTGCGCCAGTGCTAAAGATACCACTGTCACTGCTATAATGTCCCGCCTTACGCTTTTTGTATTGCACTGATCCGTTGTTGTTGTTGTTGATTGTATTGCTGCTATTTGTGACCAACTGCTGGGATTGGATGAACATGTCATGCATTCCCTTGAACAAAAGAAAACGGTGCTAAATCACTTTATACGAAATAAACGCTGATATAAACAGAAACTAAAATCACTTGTGTGTTGATTATCTTCTGCCTATTGAACTCCAGGGATTCGTTCGGTGGCTTCAATTATTTACTCCGAAATTAAGGAAATGCTGTCTGTAATCAATTACGTATACAATCTACTAAAAAGTAATTACATTAGGCCCTATCAATACTGATCAATTTCAAGTCGATCGACGAAAAGGGTGGATGTATGTGACGATTCATACAACGTGTGAGCCGTTTGTATTGACTAAATCATCAAATTCCTTTTAAATGTATACAGCGAAACCATTTCCAATATGTCATACATTAACGGGCTAACAAACCCCTCTTCAATTCCAAACTGTTGGATTGGCCGTCGAGGTCCTACAGGATGGCCAGCCTGCACGCCAGATTTGATACCTTTGGACTTTTTTTATGGGGCTTTTTGAAGCAAAAGGTGTACGAAACTGAACCTGCTTCAATATTGGATATACGGCAGAGAATAATAAATATTTGTAGAGATACTGAAGGTACTGTGTTCGAAAATGTTCGGCGTGAAATATCTGATAGGTTGTTCATTTACCAAGAAGTTCAAGGCAACCATTTTGAGCATCTTCTGAACTGACCTCAAGCTTATTACCTCATATCATGTAGTTAAATGTCAATGTATTCAGATATAATATAAGACTCAAAATTATGTTAAGGTGGCATGTGCAAGGTGTCTCAAGTGTTACTCTCTTTGAATCCAAGAATAAATAACATCCAAATCCATAAAAACATTTCTGCTTGTTTGCCACCACTGTCTTGGAGATTTTTTCAACTAAATAGTGCACAATAGTGCTGCTGCAGCGATACTGTAACGAATCTGAAACCGCCCCTGGCTGATATGCCGGCCAGCGAACAAACACATGACATCACCGCGAAAGAATGCAGTCGGCAACCGCCGGTAAAACTCTAGTCTAGTACCGAACCGACTATAGATTTCTAGAAAGAACCGTTACATTATACAAGCCCGGCTTCCCTGTGGAGGGCTCAAGTTCCAGAGAGACGATTTAACGCTAGAAACACTAGGAAAAGCGTACTGAAGTCGAAGAGTAACTTCGAAAAAGAGCAAGTATACTTGAAACGTTTGCGATATATCAGAGAAAGGTCTTGTTTGGATGATAGCTTGCACTCCATACAACGAAGAAAACGAATATCGCTTCGTTTTAATTACCTTGTCGACTCATTTCGAATGCACATTTGACGGAGATACACTGGAGAGTGTATTCATCACTATTTGAACACCCCGGGGGCTATTTTACTCAATTTTTGTATTAAAAAACGTCACCGTGAACTTCAATTTCACCTTTCGGGTTTAGTGGTGATGCATATACCAAAATCCTTCGAATACCTATGATACCCTGGTAGAAATGTGTTCGTCGTACAGTATTTGTTGATCAC